GCATGTGTTGGAGTGCTTTTGTGATTTCTGCATATAGAGAGAGGTCTGTCCTAAGGCTGTCTCGACGGTTTGATTAGTTTGGCGGTAAGGGAGGCATCTTAGAAATGCTCGACATCCTTCTCTGTTAATTCTGGACCAAGGTTGTATAAATTCGAATAGAATGATCTGAAACAATCGTTGATAGTGGACGGTTGACTGATGGTAACAAGATGAGTCTTTTATTTGCATAATGAGTGATCTTTAGTTTGTTGTTTAAGTTGATTGCTAAGAATTTCCGTTTTTCCAAATTCCAAAACTGCTGTTGTCGAGCTTGAGGAGAATGCCTTCTTTTTTTATGGTAGAATGTTGTTTAGTTTGTGTTTTGTTTTTTAAAAGTTCTTTTATGACTGAGATGGTGTGGAGTATGGGAAAGCCAGGTGGTCCAATCTCTTTGCTTCCTCTCCTTTGGAGAGTATTTTCTTTCTCAATTTCTTCTTTTTTTATAGGAATTGTATGATATTATTTGCCTCTCATGACAGTCTTTCCTGCTTTCCATAGTGTACCTGCCTGTTATTTCCTGGAGGTGTTTATTTGTCTCGATGATGATGCCCATTCCTGTTTGAAAAATTCTTTTAAAAAATTCTTTATCTTGAGTAATGAGTTGTTTGAAGCGCCATTCTTAAGGACAAGTTGGGTGGTGTTCTGCTAGGAAAGTGATGCTTTATAGGGGCCATGGTTGGGAGGATGATGTTAATGTTTGTGAATTTGTGGGGTTTATAATTTTGTATGTGATGGAATGTAACCTAAAAATAGGTCTATTCTGGAGTATTGATTTGATGGGTAGGGTGAAGTTAATATGTGTATCAGATTTACTGGGGTATGTTAGTCTCCACAATTGTCAATCAGTCCGTAATCTGAACATGTATTGTTAGCAGGGTTGAGGGGCGATTAGATTTTTTTGTAGGAAGTTGATGAGGAGCGGTCCATGGTGAGTCTAGTGTTATGTTTTTAAAATCTCTTTTTATGTTGTCATTAAGTGTTATCAGTAAGTCCAGTCTTATTTATTTATGGATTCAAGTACACTACCTCAAATGTTTTGTGGTTGCAAGTCGCTTGTGTATCTGTCGATGAAATGCTTTTTCCGTTTGCATTGGTAGCTGCATCTTGCTGGGGTTGTCCATCTTGCAGCGGTTGTATAGTAGCGATTTATGTATTCCTCGAGTTCCTCTAGTTTTCCTCTAGAGTGGGGCAGGATTAGTTCCTGTTTCCGGTTATTCCTGTAGGTGAGTTGAGGCCAAACTGCAGTGTGAGATCGGTGCAGGGAGTTTCACCTGAGACGGTGACAGGAAGTCACCGAGCCGATGCAGGAAGTCACTGAGCTGTTGCAGGAAGTCACTGAAGCTTGAGTCTCTTATTATCCTTGGTCCAGGTGGACTGTTTGTGCCAAATTTGAATAGTCAAGGCGTTACTGAGAATCAGTCACGAAGAATGGGCGAACATACAACTGAAAACAATATGCCTCGGACTTTCGCCCAGTGTGGAGTCATAAAACTGTGTATGGCTCTGGTGGTTGACCTAGAAAACTTGGTTTGGTACCAAGCCCACCATTGAGTATATATGACATACTGTTAACCCAAACATGGTCAAATGTTTAATAGTTGCCTCTTCATGGCATGCAATGTTCAAATAAAGACACCTGTCTTTGGTGACTTAGTAGCCCACACTTAGATCAGTCTGTTATGCTTGTAAAACATCTGCACTACAACACTGGCTCATCTCTTTGTCATTTTGTTGCAACAGCGCCACATAATAAATGACAATTGATCAGTGCTGTTGGCGATTCCCACTCCAGTAGTTTTTTCAAAAATTTCAGCATGGATCCAATAGTGGTTGGACCATCATTGCCATCAATAGAGACTCTCAGCAAAGGTTTCCACTGCCTTTACCACATCCCTTCAGGTTTCAAAAATTGTTTGTGATATTTGTGAATTTTCTGATGTTTTTCTAATACACAAGTCAAAATGTGCATGAAAACAAGCTTGTTGGAAACTTTCTCAACCATTCACTTAGTAATGCTGGGCATATTAGTGAATTCAGTGACATGTTCTTAAAAGAAAAGAAAGAGAAGAAGAAATAGATAGAGAGATTAGATTGATTA